AGCCGGGCCTCCCAGCAGCCCCTCAACACCGCCGCCCTTGCTGTGCTGCCGGTCACTCGGCTGCTCCTGCCCCTCTGCTCCCAGCGTGGTTTTTACCTCCCATTCGCTCACCTGGAACCCGGGATGGACCCCATCCTGGACCTCGACGTCGGGGCACAGATGAGAGTGGGGTCTGGCGTGGGAAGGGGAGCCCAGGAGGGGAGTGGGCAGGGTCTGAGGAAGGAGGAGTGGCCAGGTGAGAACCAGGAGACGCTACAGGTGATGGATGGGAATAGCAGAGCCCGCCTGGGGCCTGACTGCGGGGCGGGTCCCCCGAGGAGCAGGCCAGCTCTGCTCAGCCACAGGATGAGGCCTCCCCGAGGTGGGCGGCTGGAGACCCAATCGCACCCCCAGGGTCTGGCTGGCAAGGGTTTCAGGCCCAGGTGACCGTGAGAGGACCCTCCCAGCCCCAATGCCGTGTCTGAGGGCCGGGGGTGCCTGTCCATGGAGAAGGGATCAGGGCTCCTCTAGGAGGGAAGTGCAGCTCTGTCCCCCGAGTGACATTGGCAACGTCCCTGCACTCTGCATCCACTTTCCCGAAGGTCTCGCCTTTTAGGGGACACCCATTGTCCACGGTGCCTAATGCCCCCCAGGGCGGGGGGCACCCCGGGGCCAGGACAAGCCCACAGCTGCTGAGTCGGGTGTGGGTGCTGCCCACACCGGGGCGTCCCTCAGGGTGGGCAGGCGGACCCGGTTCCCGGGCTGCTGAACAAATTAGCACAAACTTGGTGCTTAGAACCAGAACTTGACTCTCTCACAGTCTGGGGTCCAAAATCAAGGCGTGGGCAGGGCCGGGCTCCCAGAGCTCCGGGGAGGGGCCCCTGCTTTCCTCCCGCTCTGGGGGCCTGGCAGTCCTTGGCTTCACGAGGCTGAATCGCCCAGTTTCTGCCTCCTCTTCTCCTGGGGGCCTCCTCTCTACGTGTCTGTATCCAAACCTCCTGTCTTACGACACCAGCCACTGGGTTGGCGTCCACTCCAGTGTGGCCTCGTCTTAACTTTATTGCATCTGCAGAAACCCTATTCCCAAGCGAGGTCAGGTTCACAGATAGCGGGGATTGAGACTGGACTGCCTTTTGAGAGACAGTTCCCAGTACGATGCACACAGAGGGGAGGCCAGGACTGAGGCCAGCTCAGCCAGGCAGGGCCTCGGCACCTTCTGCGTCCAGCCGGGCCTGGGCTGCTGGGGTCTTCCTGGGCATCCTGGTCCAGCCGGGCCTGCCGTGGAGCCGCCTGCATTTGCACGGGGAGATGGTGCACCCACCTGGGCCCTGCTGGTGGGTGGAGGGGCCGACCAGGCACTGCTGGCCTCCTAGCTGGGAGCTGCCCAAATGCTAGGCCCTCGGGTGCCCGGGCTTAGAGGGTGGTGGATGGCAAAAGACCCCCATCGCTCCTGGTCAGAGCTGCTGTGAGTGACCCCCACCACATGGACCACCCCTCAGTGGATGGAGAGGTCAGATGGGTGTGTGGCCACGACAGGGGAGAGACTGAGTTCAAGGGTTACCAGGGTCCTTGGACAGGGGACCAGCAACTCCTCAAACAGCCACCTAATGAGGTTCCAGCGCAGTCCGTGCACCTCTCCGACCACAGCCAGTGCCCCAGCTCGGCCTCTGCTTCCCTTTTCAGAAAGGACGGGAGGCAAGCATCTCACACACACCCCCACCCCGACCTCCAGGCTGGGCCTGTGAGGAGTGAGGCCCCAGCCCAGCCAGTTCTGAGGCCCCTCCCTCCCGTGGGGGCCAGCGCCCTGGGAGCGTGTTTGTTCAGGTCCCTGGGGGAGGCTCCAGGGAGGGTCTCGGTGGGTGCGGCCAGCCTCCGCCTACAGCACAGACTTAGTGGCTGAAAATAACGCAAATGGACGCTCACGGTTCTGCAGCTCAGAAGCCTGAAATGTGTCCTATGGGCTGGAACCAAGGTGTCAGCAGGGCCACCTCCCTGGGCTTCTCCAGCTCCGAGGCCCCTGCACCCCTGGGTCTCTCGCCCTGGCCCACCCTCTGTCTCCTTCCTTACACCTTTTTATTTCTTTATAATATTTATTGATTTCAGAGAGGAAGGGAGAGAGAGAGAAACATCAGTGATGAGAATTATGGATCGCCTGCCTCCTGCACACCCCCTCCTGGGGATGGAGCCCGCAACCCAGGCCTGTGCTCTGACCAGGAATTGAACCGTAACCTCCTGGTTTATAGGTCGACGCTCAACCACTGAGCCACTGGCCGGCCCTTACACCTCTCTCTGACTCTGATGCTCCTGCCTCCCTTAAAGGGCCCCTGTGATCACATGAGGCCACCCAGTCACCCAGGCCCATCGCCCCACTGAGAGCCCTAACCTCACCCATGGGCAGTCTGTGAAGTAACCTAGTCGCGGGTTCTAGGGAGCCAGCTGCAGCGCCCCACACGGAGGCCTGTCGGGTGTGGGGTCTGGGCGGGATCTGGACCTCCCCTGGGGTGAGAGGGCTGAGAGGAGGAGGTGGGGGCCATGAGCCTGGTTTGGGGGTGGCTGGGGTAGGGTCTCGCCGGCCAGAAGAGCAGCTCCATAGAGCTGGGGGCGCGGGGCCCGGAGGGCAGGTGCTGCTGGCAGGAGCCACCGGTGCAGGAGCATCTCAGCTCCCCTGCGGGAGGGCACTCGGACTCCCGGACTCAGAGGGTCGGAGGGTCGGGAGGGGCCTGGGGCAGGGAGCCTTCAGCACAGCAGCGTGGGACTGCGCAGACGCAGGTGCAGGCTCGCTCCTCCCCCAGGCTGCACCCCAGCACCGGCTCTCCTCTCTGTGGTAAGGACTTTCCGGATGCTGCATGTGGCCTTGCCACTCAGCCATGGGGTTTCCAGGGGAACCCAGGGCCACTGTCCTCAGGGGAAGGCCAGGGGCAGCTGGGGCGGGGCCAGGCCCGGGCTGGTCCAGCTGGAAGGCGGCCCTGGCTCGGGGCATGGCCTGCCCTGCTCCTCTCAGGGGCTGGTTTCCCCTTTGCACAGAGCCCGGTGGCCTTGGGAGGAGGGCCTGCTGGCAGTGCAGGCTGGTCCCAGGTGCAGTGGGCACAGCCATAACCTAACCGAAGGGGTAGCCCACTGCTGGGGGGGGGGGTGCCCAGTGCGACCCTGCCCCACGGTTGGGACATGAGGGAGGGGAGTGTTTGAGGAGCAGCAGCCTCTACAGGCCCGGGTGTGGGTGGGGCCGTGGCCGGGGAGGGTCTGGCGCCCCAGCCCCCTCTCCTCTCCCCCCAGAGGAACCCATTTACTGCTACACCCCACACAACTTCACCCGCGACCAGGCACTGTATGCCCGCGGCTACTGCTGGACGGAGCTGCGGGACGCGCTGCCCGGCGTGGACGCTAGCCTGTGGCCGTCGCTGTTCGAGCACAAGCTGCTGCCCTACTCGCTGCTGGCCTTTGCGGCCATCATGTACGTGCCCGCGCTGGGCTGGGAGTTCCTGGCCTCCACCCGCCTCACCTCCGAGCTCAACTTCTTGCTGCAGGAGATCGACAACTGCTACCACCGCGCGGCGGAGGGCCGCGCGCCCAAGATCGAGAAGCAGATCCAGTCCAAGGGGCCCGGCATCACGGAGCGCGAGAAGCGCGAGATCATCGAGAATGCGGAGAAGGACAAGAGCCCCGAGCAGAACCTGTTTGAAAAGTACCTGGAGCGGCGCGGGCGCAGCAACTTCCTGGCCAAGCTCTACCTGGCGCGCCACCTGCTCATCCTGCTGCTCAGCGTGGCGCCCATCTCCTACCTGTGCACCTACTACGCCACCCAGAAGCAGAACGAGAAAAGCGGGCGTGGACATCGTGCTGCTGTGCGCCATGAACCTCATCATCCTCGTCAACCTCATCCACCTCTTCATCTTCCGCAAGAGCAACTTCATCTTCGACAAGCTGCACAAGGTGGGCATCAAGACGCGCCGCCAGTGGCGCGGCTCGCAGTTCTGCGACATCAACATCCTCGCCATGTTCTGCAACGAGAACCGCGACCACATCAAGTCGCTCAACCGCCTGGACTTCATCACCAACGAGAGCGACCTCATGTACGACAACGTGGTGCGGCAGCTGCTGGCGGCGCTGGCGCAGTCCAACCACG